ATAGCTCATTTGTTCACTAAATTTTGATATGATAAATGTATATATTGTTTTTGTTTTTCAGGTTTCTGATCCAAAAGAGGAAAAAGAGAATGTAGAATCTGGATTACCATTAGCTTCTATGCTCACACCAATTGATTTTATTTTGGGCATTGCAGATTTGACTGGTGAATTAATGCGAAAATGCATCAACAGTGTCGGTGCTGGTGACATCGATGAACCATTCAGGTTATGTTTTGTATTGCAAAATATTTATGAAGCTTTGTCTAGCCATAACTACAACAAAGAACTGAAACGTAAACTTTTTGTTTTGAAAAACAGCTTGCAAAAAGTTGAAAATGCTTGCTATGCGATAAAGATACGAGGCTCAGAAATTCCAAAACATATGCTGGCTGATTTCTTTTCGAATGAAGAGGACTATAAAGTAAATACAGAATGTGACATTTAATTTATTTTCATTACAAGGACCGTTTTTTATTTTATATTCATAAATATTGTTTTTAATTACATTTTCTCCTCGACATACGACCACAATAAATAAATTTTTTTCGTTATCTGGTTTTAAGTTGTATTTTTTATTTCCTGTGTAAGAACGACATTAAGTACATATGCTCTAGAATTCTTGGTGAAATTGTCGAATCAGCGCCAAATTTTGAAAAATCGCCAATTTGGCGCGATTTTGCGTGTTGTGTTTTGGAGTAGCAACCCTACCACAACACGCAACGACGGAGCGCGAAATTTAAGATGCAGAAGGGAAATTATTAGTTTTTTAGTTAAAAGTTTTGAAACTGATAATCGCTGCAAAAATTATGTATTTAAAAATGGAAATAATTCCACTTACCTTAAAAAAAATGCTGCTTTTTCCGACATCAGTTCAACTGCATGCTTTAAAACGTGAGAAAAAACTTTTCAAGTTTTGACACAAGCCGCTAAGTCGCCAACTTGGCTGCATTTGTAATTCTTTAAATAATTCGTTTTAATCAATTAATTTTTATTACTTATAATTAAGTTATTGTATTGTCATCCAAAATAATCATGTATATAAAATTTCAGCTGAATTGAGCGCTTTAAAATGTATTTTTTTAACGATTGAAAATTCCACCAAGATAAATAAATAGAGAGTGAGTTAATTTTAGGAATTGAGAAAAAATAGTAAGCAGTTCAGATAGATAAAAAATACTAATTCATGATAAATTGAGAGATACATTTTTGTTTCCTTACTGTTCTAAGCAGAATACCTATAGAATATATTTGCTACGTGAACACACAAAATTATGCCAAACTATACTTTAAACATCAACTGAATACAAAAATAAAAGAAAGTTGTTAAATATGTTAATATTTGATAAATTAGAGTATATAAAATTATTAGGATAAAAATTTGAAAATTCGCGCGGTGTTCAATTATTTTTAGGCACTCTTTACCTCTTTTTTTTTTTTTTTTTTTTTTTTGCTATTCATTTTCAAATGAACTTTAAAAGTGATATAAAACAGAATTTAATATTTAGATTTGAACGCGGCAGCTTTCTAAATACAGTGTCCGAAGACAGGGTAAAGGTATATGGATACAATAAACACGTCAGCTTCCTAAATAAAGTTAGTGTCCGTAGACAAGGCAAAGGTCTGCGTCAGCTTCCTAAATAAAAATGGTGTTCTTAGACAAGGCAAAGGCCTGCGTCAGCTTCCTAACTAAAGACGGTGTCTGAAGACAAGGCAAAGGCCTGCGTCAGCTTCCTAACTAAAGACGGTGTCTGAAGACAAGGCAAAGGTATACGTCAGCTTCCTAAATAAAGACGGTGTTCGAAGGCAAAGTAAGCTATGACGTTAGATTCCTAATCGGAAACGGCGTTTTAAGACGGGGAAAAACTTTAATGCTATAATTGGTACTTAATTATAGAGTATTATTCAGTATGAGTGTTTTATATTATTTTTATTTTTAGTCAGTTTCAAATGAATAGTCAGTTGAACTTTTTACTTAAACATTGAAGTGAATTTTAATATCTTCTGATATATATTTTCATTTAGTAACACTTTTTTAAAAATGCATTACTTAAATGTATAAGATATTTTACACACACATATTTATAAAATATTGTACAAAACATAGTTAATGAATTATTTAATGAAATCACACTGGATAATTTATTTGAAAAACGTAATTTTTAAAATTCTTAGTTTTTTTTCCTTTTCATCTAAGTAAAATTATATGTAAAATACTGCGCACTAAAGCATAAATTATTTAGAGAAGAAATATTTTGGCTCACTTTATGTACATGAATCCTGTATATAAGTACAAAATTTCGAAGTATTTAATGCAATAGTTTTTAATAGCGTACTTAAAGATATTAATTTTTGATATCGAAATACATTTTTCTTCCAAATTGCTTCAAAGTTTCGCCATGTTGGATGATAACATTATAATGTGGTTAACTTAATTTTTGTCGTTTGGTACTGTGTTTGCTTTTTTATATTTAAGTATCTACACTATTAAAATTCGTAGATAAACAAACGTATGCGGCGTACGAGTAAGAGTATCTTCTCACGACGGAGAAACTTGCCGAAGATACCAAAAGATTGGGAATGATCCGAGAAATCCGTTTTGACCATTTATATTCCAATTAGTTAAAAAGATCTTAATTAAAAACCTTAAAATGCATAATTAGTGCCTTTTTTAACCGCCAGGGGTCAATTTCAAAATCTCCGAACTTTTTTTTCCCGACGCGATCTAATTTTTTTTATGAGACTCACGAGGAGAGGACACGACTAAGGAAATTCATTTGGGATCGAGACTTGGTGCAATAGTAGAACTCCTTTAGGGTGTTCACCTCTCAATGTAATTCTGCCAAATGGCCAGTCAATTCGGAGAAATCAGCCTCCGAAATTCATGCTTAGATTTTACACAATTAAATTTTAATTTTTCGCAACGAGTTCGTAGCTTGATTGGTATGGTTGTCTGCTTACTATGTGCGAGGTCATGTTTCTTCAATTCATTTAATTATTTTTTTAAAATTAAATAATTTTATTTATGTTGAATTTTATTTGATTGAAGTAAGTTCCCCCAGCAATTTAATATAATTATATCTATTCCTGCACTTAGGCCAACGTTGCCTAAAAAGTTTCACTTCTAGCGTGTGGGGCTCTTTCCACGTCCTTTCTTTCTTTCTTTCTTTTTTTTTTTAAAAAAAAGATATTTATGAATACTTATTGCAAATTTGCGAAGGGGAAAAGCAGCCGACAACAATCATTTATTTGAAGAGGCGTTTCAAAAAGTACTTGAAATGCCCAGAAAGGAAAAGTAATAATTAGAACAAAACAAACCAGATTTCTTCTGCTTATTCATTTAACAATGAAGACAGCAGCATGAGAAAATTAAAGTTATAGGAACTCTTCTAACAGGGCCGACTCTAGCAGTTTTGCCGCCCCGGACGAAAACGGAAAATGTTTTGCCCCTCACTCCAAAGCAAAAACTTATAATTAAAAAAGATTAATTGTTCATATAAATACACACCTACAAAACTTGAATAATTCTTACGAACAAAAAGCAGTATAACAATTATACATATTATTTTAAGGCTTAAAAATTACAAAATCATTTGAAATTAAGAACATAATTACATGTTATTATTTGAAGTGAGTGAAATATAAGAGAAGAAATCATTCATTTCAGCACAGGTCAATTTCTTCGAAAAAGAGTACTGATGGTGGGGATCCCAAGTATTTATTTTAACTTATAGTAACTACACTCGAGACCAAAATAAAGTATCTCTTGTGTCTACCAAAAACTCTTATTACTCGTGTCCTCTTTTGGATAGCAGATACAGGTCATCGTATGAGTGAAAGGAATACACATTGTGACACCTTCACTGGATTGGTGGTGGGGGGGGATATTGAAAAATGTGTAAGCATATCACATATTTCATGATTTAGTGTATATTTCCGCCTCGAACCCTACAAGTTTCAACATAAAAGAAAACTGACATTAAACATACAGAGTACAAAACAATGAAATAAGATATGTTAAATGAAATATCAAATTCTCACCCAACTATTTTTCAAAAAAATATACAAAACTTTCTGTAACAAAAAAATATTTCTCTAATTCGATCCAAATGCCGCCCCTGCTTCTAAGGACTTTATTATGTTACCGTTAAAGTGCATAATTCAGTTATTCCATAGAACAACTAGGTATTTCATAAAATAACTAGACAATTGAGTTAAAGTGTGTATAATAAATGAACAATTTCATACTTTACCTAGTTATTCTATGAAATAACTAGGTATTCCATGAAAAAACCAAGGATAGACCGTTAAAGTGAAAAGTAAACACTTTCAAAGATGTTTTATAAATTAATTGATCATAAAAAAATAGCTAAAATCTCTCAAAAGATACATTTTATCCCTTTTGCGGATGATTAAATGATAATTTAATAAGGAAAAGCAGAGATGATATAATTTATTATATTGCTATAAGTTAAACAGAAAAGGGGAAAAAAAAGAATATGTGTGTGTGTGTTGCAAAAATATATTATATTTAAATATTATCAACAAAAATACATGCCGGAAAGAAAAACTATTGCTTCATAAAAACACTGTGTCAACTTTTTAAAACAAAAATGTAAGAATATTTATTAAAATTTTATGAGATACCTTCATTTTTTACTTTTCATTATTTATTAGAGCAAGGATTGTTGTGATGACACTTTGGATTGAACTGCCTATTATTTTTGAAACAAGTACGCTGTTTAGTATTACACATTTTTTTTTACATGAGCACTTTTTAAATCCTTGTCCTGTACTGCAACTTTGAGCTGCCGTAACAGATCGAAGCGCTGTGTCAATATTTGAACTTCTTCAATGGAAATTAATTCTCGCTGACATATTGTACTGATATCTAGAGTACAATTGTTTTATTCCGCCTAATCAGAAAAATTCTTCCCAAAGAAGCTAGAACCAGTTCAAAGAACTTTTGAGTGTCGTATTTCATACTTTAACGATCAAGTGCCGCCCCATTCAGTATGGTGGTTATGACACTCGGCTTGTAACCGAGTGGGTTAAGGTTCGAATCCCGAAAGAGGCACGGATGTATCTTCGGGAAAAGAAATCGGACTTTCGGCTGAAATGGATTACCGTCTATAAAGGAAAGCAGCGCACCTCTTCTGTTTTTTTCTCAGATCATCGTTTGTAATAAAATCTGTGATTGTATTCTATGTTTTTGTTCATCCATCTCACGTCTTTCGTATGTATCCCAGTAATAAACACACAACGACAACAACGATTGTGGTGTCCCCCATGGGTCACACTTTGAACACCAAGATTAATTTAAGGCAAAGAACCACTAAGAGCCATTTTGAATAATAATAATATTTATTTATTATTATTATAATTTTCTCAAAAAAATCTCTGATAACATATAATAATATTATGTTACGTCACTTAAAGGGATTTGCTTTTATATTAAATTAAATTACTAATAATGCAATTAATTCATAATTAAGCTCAAGTAAGGTCAACCGAAATAGGAGATCCGAGAAATACACGCGTATTCGAATTCTTAACTTATTCATTACTTTAACCAAGTCGTTTAATTAGTCGTCTTTTTGCTATCTCGCAAGTTGATTGGAAATATATCTTTTTATATATAAACGCGTATTTATATTCCCCAAAAAGACGCCTAAGAAGATTAGTGGAAAGGTTCCGTACAGATTCGTCACACAATCAAGTAATCGTTATTCTACAGAATACCTAGTTAAATCGTAGAATTCAAAAAATTATATACTTTAACTAACTGATCTAGTTATTTCATGAAATACCTAGTTATTCTATGAAATAACGGATTTCGCGCTTTAACGGTAACATATATATATAAAAAAGAATACATGTTATTGCAAATTTGCGTGGAAGTGAAGCAGCTGACGACCCCTGTTATTTGAATTGTAACAGATTTATAAATGGACAAGAACAAACAGATGACCCCACGAAGACAATCTGGTCAATGCACATATTCTAATTTCGACTGAACTTTCTTCTCAACTTCCCGACTTATGTTTCAAAGGCCCTTTGAATAGCCTCGACGTAATTTCTAGAAGGATTGATTCTAAAGCCTTCTCGATGATTCCTTGGTGACATCGTATTTTTCGCCAATCTTTTAACCCCTGGTCTTATCTCCTTTGATTGCCGTATTCTAATTTTTCAAGCACACGTGGGGAAGCACTATGCTAGTAAATTTTTCCACAAGGAGGGAAAATACCACACGTGGCATTTTTTAATATATTGACGAAAATGAGTTATATGTGAAACAAAAGTAATCATGTTGCTTAGAAGAAAATTCATTTTCTTACCCCACCTTAAAGCAATGATTATGTCATTACATCAGATGTTTAATAGAATTTTTGGAACACGTGTAAAATCTTGTCTACCGTTTTTTGGCGAGGAGAATATCACCTAACAATGGGATGTTCTGCTGATTGTATTTTTAATGCAACTAAATTTGGTTGGAATAGTGCCAATTTTCATGATTGATGGGATGTTATAAAGTTTGTAGCATCCAACTATAGTTGCATTTTTATTTATGAATTGTTTGAAAATAAACTATTTTCATAACATAACACAAGATCACACATTAAATATGTGATTATTTGGGAAAGTTTAATCTTGTGATGAGATCTTAATTATCAGTCAAGGGGTATATAAAGAAAAATAATTTAGATCTCAAAACAAATTTAATTTAATTTAATAGATATGATTTTTGTATTATAATTATATATTTCAAAAAATTTAAGCTTTAATAACTTCTCTCTCTCTCTCTCTCTCTCTCTCATAACTGATACTTTACTGTGTACATCCATTTTTTATATATTTGCGGATTACATATATATTTTTAATAATAATAATTTAATGCATAAGAAAATTCAACAATGGTTTTCTTATTCATTCATTCAACAAAACATCTACGCATCTAAATAATTGGAGAAACAAAGACTAAAGTAAAACAGCCCCTTTAGTCGAGTACCAGAACTTTCTTACTGGCGTTGTAGAGCCCTGCTCATTATAACGCAGCTTGAATACTTCGGAGGGACTTCAATGTCCACTTTAACCAAACTTATTTTGTTATTATCGCTTTCGTGGGCCATTTATTTCTCTTTTGAATTTCTCGCAATTTTTTATGTTTAATGAACATTTAAACAATAGCATTTAATTATACACTGCTGGACAATTGCTAAGGACGGATAACACTATCATCCATTGCAACCACAAAATGAAAGGAAGCAAAATGTGGAAAATTAAAATAAGTGCGGGATATTAGCAAGAAGAAGTATGAGTATGCAAATTTTTTTTCCACGTCTGGACATCACGTGATAGCGTTCATAAGAGCTTTAAAGGTTTTGACGCGTGTGGACAGTTGTTGTTTCAAGTCAAAGTTTTACAGGAAAGATTTAAAAGACGAACTTAAAATTTTTGGCATGTCTTCCCGACATCACATAGATGATTTTATGCCTTGCCGATTTATTGGAAAGATCGAAGAAGGGCGAAAAATAACAGATGTTGCCAGGGAGTTCGACATCGCTCACAGCGTTGTTTCACGACTGTGGAAGTCATTTAAAACTACTGGAATGTGTAGTAGACAGCACGCGGGAGGTCGTGTTAGAAGTACGACGCCTGCAGCAGACAGATATATCGTCCTATCAGCAAAAAGGAACAGGCGCACCACAACTCAGCAGGTGGCAAATCAGTTTCTTGCTGCCTCAGGAAAGCAGATCTCCCGAAAAACTGTTGCCAGACGCTTGAGGGGAGGATGACTATACGCACGCAGACCTGTTGTGTGTGTCCCATTGACCAGACAGCACCGTACTGCCCGTTTGCAATGGTGTCGTGAGCATCACAATTGGACTGAACAGGACTGCACATGCGTACTATTCTCAGATGAGAGTAGGTTCAGTCTGTCATCGGATTGTAGACGCTAACTGATCTGGCGCGTGAGTGGTACTGCTTATCGTCCAGAAAATATCCAGGAAAAGGACCGATATCCGACATGCAGTATCATGGTGTGGGCCGGCATCATGATCAATGGCCGCACGCGCCTACATGTGGTTGCGAATGGGACTATGACGGGCCAACGATACATTGATGAAGTTCTACTTCCTCATGTTCGTCTTTTCCGTGGTGCTGTCGGTGATAAATTTGTTTTTATGGACGATAACGCAACATGTCATCGAACACTCGCTGTTCAGGATTGTCTAGACAGCGAGGGAATTCAACGTCTCGTATGGCCAGCGCGCGTTCTCCAGATCAAAACCCCATTGAAAATGTGTGGGATGCTTTGGGGAGGCAAGTTGCTGGTCGAAACTATCCCCCGACAAACAAGAACACCCTCATCCGTGCACTCACAGAGGAATGGGATAAATTGCCTCAACAGCTGCTGGATAATGTTGTGCAAAGTATGGTACGACGTGTGGAATGTTGCATCACACTCCATGGTGGACATATCCCGTACTGATACCTTTCTTTAAGGTGCCTGCTGACTTTTAGATGCATTGTTACATTTCTCCGTACGCAGATCAAATGAACATTTTTTTTCTTTCAGATGTTTCACAGCTTTTGTACTTTCCAGAACAATAAATATTCTTTATTCTAATGTCTGAACAGTGTGGCAACTATATTTTATCCTACTAGGCCTCATGTCTCGCTTAATGTTATGCTACATAGCAATTTGTGATCCGTCCTTAGCAATTGTCCAGCAGTGTATATATATATATAATGGTGTGGTAATTGATATATTAAATATGAGACGTCCTTCTATAGATATGGATTGAATTCTTGATAGGATGCTCTTTGGGGAGTTTTTTTAATGATTAACGCTATTCATTTGTGAATATACTGGGTTTTTAATTTGAACTTTCGGTTTTTAGATATTTTTTAGTTTGAACTTTCGGATTTTTTTTAATTTGAAATTTTTTTTATTTGAACTTTCGGATTTTTTTTAATTTGAACTTTCGGAATTTTTTAATTTGGACTTAGGGATTTTTTAGTTTGAACTTTCGGATTTTTTAGTTTGAACTTTCGGATTTTTTAGTTTGAACTTTCGGATTTTTTAGTTTGAACTTTCGGATTTTTTAGTGTGAACTTTCGGATTTTTTAGTTTGAACTTTTGGATTTTAGATATTTTTTAATTTGAACTTTCGGATCTCAAATATTTTTTCTACATATACAACTATTTTAAAGATGGGTACTTCATCTTTGGTGTTCGATGGTTCACTTATATTATGCACTAAATTGCTTTTGAATTTTAATATTATAATATCTTTCAGAATGCAATGACGAATAGTTTAATTTTTCAAGTATAATGGTTTAATTTTAAATTTGGATATTTTCCGATTAACTTACCAAGTTGCAATAGGGGGAAGGTTGGCGCCCTTAAACTAGTTTAACCCCACTTATCGATCCTAAGTCCGAGGTTGCACTTGGATATTTTATAATTTTGTTTGAAAACGATGTGGAATTTTATCTTTTATATTCGCCATTGATATTTTGAAATAGGATTTAATATTACAAGACTCGTATATTTCAATTGATTATTGTGATTGATCGTTGATTGATTTTATACATATATATATGCCGAATTTTATGCTTACATTTAAATTTTAGGGGTAGGAAGAATACTTCCCTTGAAACCATTCACCACTATAAATAAAATTAAACTTTATGGTGATTATTTTAAATGAAAAAAAAATGAGAAGTATGTTGCATTGCACAAGGGGACATCACATTCTGCACACAGGTAGCGGGTCCTCTTTTCTTGTCCCTTTCTGCGACATTTCCTACATCGTCTATAGTTGGAAACTATCTTTGGCATGATTTACCCCACTGGCTAAGCGCACATCATCCAGAACTACACATTTTGCTTGGAAACTAGCGGGACGTCCTTTACTTTTTCTTGAGGAATATCCGTCTATTAGCTGACGAGCTCATGCTGTACGGAATGTCATCTGGTCTAAACTTCTGATTTTTTGTTGTTGTTCACTTGCCACAGTATGAAACTATTTATGATACCAAGGCCTATAAGAAAATTAAAGATCCCCC